GGGAGCCCGGGGCTGGCCTCATGTGCCGGGGCAACCGTTACCGGTTCCCTCCTTGCCCGGTGCTGGCACAGCCGGCTCTGAGCCGCCAGGTGCTGGGCAGCGCTGAGCGCGCCCGCCGCGGGGTTTCTGATCCAGTCTTGCTTTTTTTTTTTTTTTTGTTCTTTTGTGCTTTGTTTGGGTTTTTTTCCTTATTATTTTCATTTTTCTGTACAAAGCTGGCTGCTGGCCAGGGAGAGGCCGAGCTGGGGCTGCTCATCACCGGGCTGGGCACAGCCTTGGTGCTGTGGGGGTGACAGCAGCATCCCCCTGGTGCTGTGCCGAGCATCCCGGCGTGCTGTGTGGAGTGCCGCTGGCTGGGCTCCCCCACCCCACCGCCACAGCTGGGTCCTCCACCCTTCGGTGCTTTCTTAGGGGCGGACCTTGTGGTCCCCCTCCCATGGTGCTATGGCACGAACAGCCTCACATGGCACCATCTCCTTCTGGCACCGCTGGCTGGTGCTGCCTTGCCGCTGCCCCATGGCTGTTGTATGTGCGGGCACGTACCCACGGGGAGCCCCCCCATGGCCCCCTTCAGCCCCTTTCAGGGGGGTCCAGCTGCCCCGGGAGGGCAGCACCTCCCTTCAGCTTTGCCAAAGAGCCAAGGCAGGGACCCTGGCACGCACAAGCGAGGAAAAACAGGGCTGTGGCTTGGCCAGAGCATCACCCCAAAGGGCCGCGGTGGTGCTCCGGCCAAGCCATGGCCCCATCGTACCGACCCTGCTGCATTTTGGGCTGGGGCACGCAGAGGAGGGCAGGGAAGAGCCGGTTCCCAACCTTTCCCCTCCCCAGGGAGTTCACCTGGCTGTCTCCCTCGGGCCCCCTTTTTTTTATTTTCAGGGCTTAACAAAAGAAAAACCTTTGTACAATCAAACATTTAGATGGGTTTTTTTTTGTTTAATTTAATACGAGGTTTTTTAGAAGACTTTTGTAGCTCTTTGGTATTCACACTTATTGCTAATTGTTTGTAAATCTATTTATTTTTTAACCTGTGGGGGGGTGTGGGGGGTTTGTTTTTCATATTTGGAAAAAAAAAGTCTGGTTTTATATCCTGACGGATTTGTCAAAATAAAGACTTGCACAGAGCAAGGGTGGTGTGTGGGGAAGATGGGGCCGTGTGTGTGCCCTGGAGCTGGGCAGCTCTCAGAAATGGAGTCATTACAGTGGGGGGACAAGGGCTCTGGGTGCCCAGACACAGGACCTGGAACCCTGAGGTGGCCCCAGGATTCCTCCGTAGGGGATGGGGATGAAGCCGGGGCCAGCCCTGCATCCCCCCAAGTCCCGGCCGCAGCGCCCCAGGCTGCCTCGGAGCTCCTGGCCACCATCCCGCGTCCTCAGGCTTTCTTGGGCACGTTGGTGATGATGGGCTTGGGGCGGGTTTTGAAGAGGAGCTTGGTTTTGATGAGGGCGGTGACAGCATAGCGGGCGTCCGGCTCTGCAGGGCCAGGCTGGCGGCCGGGCTCGCCCGCTCCCCGCTTCTCCAGGACGGCAAAGGGCTTCTCCAGCTGCACCACCTTCCCGTAGAGGATGTGGTGGCCCACGATGAGCACGGGGACGCCCTGGAGAGAGCCGGGGGAGGCGTTACAATTATTTGAAATCTCCAGTCCAGCTCTCTCTCTCCCTGCAGAAGACAAGATCTGTAATCATGGGAGACATTGCTCACCAGTTCTGATTCTCAATTTCATTTTTTGAGATTGAAATGTACTCCAAAAAGCAAGTAATAGAGATCTTACGCCCAGAGTCAAGGAAAGAATCCACAACATTAGCTCTTCTGACCACAAAACAATTATATATTTAGATATATTAAGTATAGAAATGTAGGTCCTTTAAAGCAGTAAAATGGGAAGTAACATAGGACTTTTTTTTTTTTTTTTTTTAAGAAGAACCACTGAACAAAGAGGGGGGCTTCTTTTGCTTGCATTGATCATTACAGCTTCACCTGAGTTAACTGCACAACAGGTGTGGGCTCTGGGCATCTGTCTTGCATCATTCTGCTAAAACCTGTATTCCCATATACAGCCTCTGCTGAGCACGGTGCCTGTTATACTAACTGTATTTGTATGCAGCTAGAACTATATTTTACTCTTAATGTCTTCCATGTGAGGCTCACACATTTTAAGAATATGATTAAGTAAATCTCTCACCAGTACAGAGGTGGATGCTACAGATGAAGACATGATTTGAACAGGTCGCAAAAACACTGACAGAGGGGTGACAGTGACAGTGACAGATTGGAGAGCTGAACCTAGGTCTGTACATATAATGTGTGTTTCTTTCACCAAAATATTTTTGTAGCATTTAATTATTAGAAGATGTCTTTTGGACAGATAGATAGGAATTTGAAATAATATGAACCCATGCCGATTTTACTTCTATTCACTTTATAAGAAAATTCAGTTTATTGGCGACAAGCGAATTATCATGCTTTATATTTTAATTGGAAGTTGACAGGATAACCGAAAATGGACAAAAATGAAAGAAAAACAGGAGGAAGCTAGAAAATCTAAATATCTGAAAGTGCTGAAATGATGACAGGAGACAGCCAAGAAAAGAACAGCATTTGGCCAGGAGGAATATTTTCTCTTTTGGTTGAATTACTGTGTGAAATAAAAATGAAAACAGAAGACCAACATCCAACATCAGCTCAGGAGTTTGAGGTGCCATCATAAACCTCCTGAGATTTGCTCTCACTATATTAACCCCCCCAAAACCACAGTGTAGTTATAAGCCTTGTGAATTCTCAGCTTATCATTTATTCTACATATAATAAATCCTTATTTGTAATATGCACCATATAATGGAGTAGTAAATATTTCCAATTAGCTTTAGTGTCACAGTCCTCAAAAACTGATGCATTTATGTTAATATAAAAGCATACATGGAACATTTTATCATGCATTAGAGATTTTAATCAGGTAATCTGCACGGCATCTGGAAACCTAAGCAGAGGCAAAGTCTGCTATAACAAAGGCACTGTAACAGTTCACCTTCAGTGAAGAACAATAATGCATTATTAAATTCACTTTCCTGCTCAGTGGTTACACTTAGCTGACCACAGCAAATTTGCTCTCTGCCTGGTCTTCACAAGTTGGCAGAAAAATAGATTCTGTCACATTTAACGGGTTCTGAAAATGACAGGATGCCTCTCTTGGTTTAACTATAAACCATAATCTTTCAGAAGTAAATATAATCTGCCCCGGTCCCGGTGACCAGGGGGCTGCGAGTCCGCAGGGTCACGCCTGGAGCTTCCTTCCCTGCAGGCCGCATCCTGTGCCTCTCCTGGCATCCGTCGGACACTCACATAGCAGCCGGCTCCATCGATGTCCTCCGCGTGTTCAATGTCAGTTCAGGTAACTCCTGCCCCGGGGGGTGAGCCCAGCCCCAGGGACCACTGGCACCGACCCCTTGCTCTGGGGGGATCCCGCTGTCCCCCCCAACCATCCTTCCCACGCTGCAGGCCAGACCGTCCAGAGGATCATGGTGAACTACCACGTGCAGAAGGTGAAGCGCGAGTGCATCGTGTGGAGCATCGCCTTCCTCTCGAGCGGCACCGTCGTCACCTCGGACTCCTTCGGGAGGGTGCAGTTCTGGGACTGGGAGCGAGGGACGCTGCTGCAGTCCCACACCGTCAGCACCTCAGCTGTCCTCTCGCTGGCCGTGTCAGAGGTAGGCAAGCCCCCCCACCCCGGTTCCCCCCAGGCAGGGGGGGGATCCTGTGGGATCCTGTGTGCTGGACCAGAGGCGCTCAGGCAGGAGCTGCCCAGCTCTGTGCCTCTGGGCCAGCAGGAGCAAGGAGTGAGGCTCCTGGTCCCTGCCTGCCTCCCGGTGCTGCCCTCTCCTCCTTCCCGGTCTGCACCCAAAACCCTGTCCCCTTTTCCCCCACCAGAAGGAGGACAGCATCATCGTGGGCACCTCAACCGGGGCCACCTACCAGTTTCAGCTGCTGCCAGTGAAGATGGGCAGCCTGGAGAAGCGCTGGGTGCGGACGAAGCCCTTCCAGCATCACACCCATGACGTGCGAGCTGTGGCGCACAGCTCGACGGCTCTCATCTCCGGGGGTAGGACTGGGCGCCTTCACGACGGGGATGGCTTGGGTCTCTCCCCCCGCTACTGGTTTGGCTGATTTCTGCTTGGTTTCCAGGCCTGGACGCCCAGCTGGTGATCCGCCCGCTGATGGAGAAGATGCAGAAGAAGGGCTACGATGCGGTGCTCCGCAAATTCACCTTCCCCCATGTGAGTGCCACTCTGAGCGGGGTCTTGTGCCTGGCGAGGCAGTCTGGCAGGGCTGGCTCTTCCCGTGGGAGAAGGTTGGTCCCCTCCCTGCCCCACCAGGTCCCCTCCCTGCCCCTGGCATGTCTGAAGGCTCCTGCCGTGGAGCGGGCGAGGGGTGGAAGTAGGCAAGCTCGTCTTGCTGGTCCTGCTGGGTCTCCCATCTCTGGGCTCCCATCCCACACGACCCAGTCCTTTGCCTCCCCTGCCCCAGCTTCTCCAGCACCCCAGGGCATTTCGGCTTTGGCCCAGCCCTTTCTGCCAGGCTGCGGATTCACGTCAGTCTCTGCCCGTTTCTGCATGCAGCGACGCCTCGTCTCCTGTGCCAGGAAAGCCCGGCTGCTCCTCTTCCAGTTTTCCCAGCACCTGGAGCTCTGGAGACTTGGCTCCACCGACGAGACCGGTGAGTTGCGAGACCCGGGTCTCCGGTGCAAGCCCTGTGGCAGAGTCCGTGCTGCCTGCAGGATTTCGGACATGAACTGTCCTGCTGCTTGGGTGGCGGAGGGGTGGTTTAGCCTGTGCCCCTTCCTCCCCCCAGCCCTGCGCTGGCGTGATGGCCGCGGGGAGGGCTGCGTTTGCCAATGTGGTGTGTGCCTGGGCCCGGGCTGCACAGCCGGTGTGAGACTGCACTCATGCTTCCAGTGGAGCTGAGCCAGGCCCTGGGGAGTTCAGCCTCGGGGCAGGTCGGGGAAGGGCCTGGGCTCTCCCTCGGGCTCTGCTCCCCCAGGATCCCCAGCTGCTCGATGGGACCCGTGCGGTTTCCCCACCGTCACCCCCGTGACGTCTGGTTTCTTCTTGTCCCAGGAAAGGATGGTGAGGTCCTTCCCTTGCGCCGCCTGCCTGAGCACCTCCTGCAGCTCAAGAGCAAGGTAGGGC